ATTCAGAATTTGGCATATAGGAGTAGTGGGTTCAGTAGCATAATGAGAGAGGAAGTTTGGAAATAAGGACTGTGTGGGTGTTTTGTCACATCACTTCTATTTCATCAAGATTTGACTAAGTGGAATACACAATAAAGTACACAACAAAAGGGAAGAAAGCTAACTTTCAAATTTTCTAAAAATACTTTGGATCAATGTTGCCTGTATTCAAACTATCAACGTAAGATTAATCTTTGTTTTATGAAGTCTCCCCCCCCCCCCCCCCAGAAAAGGTATGCTTTCTTTCTAATTTTTTTATGTAGGTCATACAGTGTTTAAGCCTGATCTAGCTCCAAAGCTTGTGGGACCTAAAATCCATATTTGACACCTAAGTGAAAGCAGCCTATTTCCCCCTTCTGTGCTCAATATCAGTCTTACAGAAATAAGTGGCAAATAGGATTGCTGAAAACCAGGACAAGTAAATGCCTGAAAGCAAAAAGGCAAATAAATCCCAATATCTGCTGCAGAACTGTTTTATTATATTCATAAACCAGACTTCATGCACAACAACATTGGGAAGTCCTTCTCAAGCCCACATATCTAGCATTGCCAGTGGTCATCACAAAGGTATTTCTTGTCCTTCTAAAATTCTTTTAAAATATCTGGACAGCTGCTGTATTTTCTGTGCCACCAGCTCTATAGCGGCTCTTCTTTTCTATGGAGCCACTGGAGGAATCTTGTTCTGGAACAGAATCAGTTCTTTTTAGATACATCTAGTCCAATCCCCTACCATGCAAGAATACTAATAAAGCATTTCTGAAAGATGTCCATCCATCCTCAGTTTAAAGATCTCCAAAGATGGAGAGACTCCCTCCAAAGCAGCCCATTCCACTCTTGAACAGCTCTTACAGTAAAGGAGTTCTTCCTAAAGTGTAGGTGGAATCTATTTTCTTTTCATTCAAATCCACTGGTTCTTAAAGTATGGAATAACAGAAAGCATTCTCTCTCCATCTTCTACATGATATCCCTTCAGATATTTAAAAAGCTATCATGTTACCTCTCAGTGTCCTTAAAAGAAAATATGCCCCCTAATTTGTTGCTTATGAAGTTAGGAGTACTTAAAGGAGCAGATAAGATATCCTTGGTGCTCTGTCATTTCACTATGCAAAAACCTGCTGTATTTCTGCACAGAAATTCCCAGAACACTTTGGGATGTGATAATACCAGATGAAAACTATACCAAAATATTTGTTGTTCCATAGTGAGGAGAAAATTTAGAAGGACACAATAGCTGTTTATACATCCACATTACCGTATATTTACTTTTACATCATAGTTTCTTATCATGTTTCTCAATCATATTTAAAGTTTCTCAGACCATGAATCCCCAAAGTGGTCTTAACCGTCACTTTAAATAATATATGGTATGTTTAACTTCAAATAAAGCCTGTAAAATTCTTGTGATATGACCAGTCTTATGAGCAGACTTCTATGTACCCTTTTGTATTATATTCCAATGGTGACTATACTCTATGCAAAAGCATTTCCATGTGTGACACCTGGTTTGTGACAGTACACCCACCCTATCAGTGCAGGCCCTCCATGTCCCCTAGGATGCTCTATACTTATGGAACACATTGGAACATGTAGGATATCATATGGAAGGCAGCAGTAGTGAAAATCAGGTACCACACTGTGCTGAGCAAGGCTTTCAACTAATATAAACTACCATTTGATGCAAACCATGTACTCCAAAACTGAAGAAACAGCATGGTGCAGTGGTTTGAGTGTTGGACTAGGACTCTGAGAAGTACCTGCTCAGAGCATGGAAGCCCTTTACATGACCTTGGGCAAGTCATTCTCTCTCAACTTAAAAAAAAAGGCAATAGCAAGCCACCTTTG